GGAATTAATTATTTTTTCTGAGCTAATGAGGGCACCCGAGAACGGTTTGGGACACCCTGTATAAATTGAAAAAGGTTTCTTTCGCTCTTCCTCCTCCCCTTTTCTCTCTTTCTAAAATTCTCGCTATTCTTTTGTCGTTCTGCATGCGATACGCAGCGCCGCAGCAAAAGGTTCATCAAATGCAGGAACCCACGGATTTCTCGACCGCTCGTCGCTTCTAACGTCGCGACGTCACGTTCCGCCGGCGGAAATTACTCGTTATGCCCGCGAGAGTCGTGGGACAAGAGTCCGACGGGGACGGTTAGGTAGTACGATGGTGATCGGCGTCAGAAGGCGGATAAACCTATATCCCCTTTCCAAACCTCCGACTCCTCCGTCCCTGTAATGACTAACAACCCCCCGCGAGTCGCCGGAACAATGGAAACAATACAGTGATATGAGAAAGCCGGTTTGCATTGTCGGACAAACCACAGACAGGGCTCCTCATTTTACCTCTCCTCGCGTACCCCCTGTTCTCCTCCTCCTGCCGGTCCATCTCTATCCGTGCATCCAGCATCTATCCGTCCTTTCTCTCCTTCTCCTTCCCCTCTCTTTCTCTCTCTCTCTCTCTCTCTTTCTCTTCTCTCTCGACACGCTTGTCTCCCTTTGTACCCCAACATAGCCGCATTTCGTCTGTTTCAACGCGCGCGTAGACTTCGGACTTAACTTTCTCGTCTTTCTCTCACCGCCCAGTCGGTAAAGAGAATTGTGTAACGCTGAATGAGCGGTTGATTCCGGAGCGGAGACTGCTCCATTTGACGATTCTTCCGCTCTTTGTACTAACGCAGGCTTCGCCAAGGGCTTTACCCACTTATCTACCTATCCTTTATCGATAATTAGCCAGAGATGCTTCGTCATTACCCGCGGTGACTTTTGGAAACTACGAACGTCGGGGTGGAAGTTGAAATCCCGGAGGTAGTTTGTGCGATACGTATTATATAACGAAAACATAGAAGTTCGAATGTGTCCAGTTAAATTCATTATAGATACTCGGTGTGGAATCATGCCGTTGAATATTTGAAGGATAATGCGATTCCAGGTCATTTAAATGTCGAGAATCGCGAGAAAGTGTATAAAATTGTCGTGTATAATTGTATCACGTAAATATTTCCCACGTTTCTGTTTTTATCTCATTCTCAGTCAGTTACCATTACGATTGCAAAGGTGTTATCACAACCCATTTAGAGGTAAGTAATGTGAAAGTAAATTTGAGACAATCTTCCCTGACGCATTCAAAAAGGAAAAAAAGACAATAATGCGAGTCCAGGTTATTCAAATATCAAGAATCGCGAATAAGTGCATAAAATTGTCACGCATAAACATGTCGCGTCAATATCTCCGACGTCTCTATCTTGCCATTACAATTTCAAAGATATTATCATTTAGAAATAAAAAAATAATCTGGAGGTAAGAAAGAAAGTAAGAAAGGAGCAAGGAAGAGAAACGAAAAGAATAATACAAAATATAATATCATAATAACATTATAATATAATAATATAAAAAATCCAATCGCGCCGTCGGCGTTTCATCAAACGTTCTAACGACATTATTCCGCGGAAGGACACGGGGTGGTCCAGGACGTGAATAGAAGCGAACACTCGAGGCGTTTTAAAAAAAGGGGGCTAAATTCCCGAAGGATGTTGACGGAAAACATTATACGGCTGGTCGCTGCGCCCTTGTCTCGTTCCGGTCTCTTCAGTGGCTACTGAAGAAGAAGCGGCACAAGTGCGCGTCTTCGGGTGTACGCTCGCGATGACGTCGAGGGTTGACGAGGTGTTACGATAGTAGCCTACTCGTCTCTCTCGTATCGCCTACGACAGCCAACGTGGCTGGCGATCGCGCGTGCCCTCTCTTTCCGTCGTGCGGCCTCACTGAGCGCGTCCGGAGAGGGTGTGCAGTCGAGTACGTGCCAAGTTGCATGCAGCCCTTAGTTGCGCGCTCGTTCATCCCTCTACTCGCCGTCCATTGTTTAGCCATGTCGATGAGCCAGTGTATCCTGAACGCATTTGGCTCGCGCCCAATTAACTCTTAGTTCGTCCCTGCTCACGTGTCTTTTTACGTAATCTATTCGTTTTACGGCGGTGAAAGTAAGAAGTACTTCTTCGATCGCGTCGATATTTTACATGTCGCAAAAACGTGTACGTTTTTTTTACGAGAGGATATATTTTCTTCATTAATTATGTGGGGGGGAGGGGGGCTGTTGTATCTTGGATCTATTGTACGTTGTACAACCCATGTCGAATTCAGCTATTGAACTCCATTGTGTAGCGGAGTGAGCCATCGAGGAGTGGGATTGTTCCACTCGTAGAAAAGGATGCACATATTCCGAATATATCCTTATCTTCGTCATAATAGTATGCACAAAAGAGACGGATGTTTTTTTCAATCTATTCATTTATCCTTTTCTCCGGCGAGCTGCAGATCTCCGGGGAAAAATATTTCGCCGGCACAATAAATTGTCAGTTACTATAAGGAGAGCAAAAGAATTTATTCGACCAGCAGAAAGATTTGTTAAGAGTATTAATTTCTGTTGTCCCCACAATAACTAACAACTTGCTGTGCTAGCGAAATTACTTTTTCCGTGTATAGTCTAATACAAGGAAGGCGCACTCCAATACTATGGAGTCTAATTATTTCAGCACTATTTAGTGATTTTCTTACGTTTTGTTAATACGATAATTCATTGTGTTTCTCGCCATAGATAAGAACTCTAGCGTGGTAAACGCAATGAATTGTAAAATGCAAAATCGCTAGATAGCGCTGAAATCGAAGTGGCTCCAAGGTAAAGCACCTTCTCCTATGATAAAATAATTTTTCTTGAAAAGTCGAGGGTTTATCAGGAATACGTCACCGACGAACATGAGATTTCATTTCACACCGAGTGAGGAAGGGGAAGGGGGGCTTGTCGCGTCTCGGTGTCGCTAGACGAGAGGTAAAATTTTGCACGATTAATCTCCCCCGACGCATCCCTTGGCAGTCGCGTTTGTAATCCCATCTTGTCCAAGGCGGATTCGAGAGTCCAAGATCATATTTCTGATATATATATATATATATATATATATATATATATATATATATATATNCGCAGGGCGACCGACGTCGTACGTCAGACGGTTATACGGTAGCGGAATTATAACGCGAACTCCGAGAACTCTCGGAAGATGAAGAGTTAACTTTTTATGCGAGGCCGCCTTCTTTCCTTCCTTCCTTCCTTCCGCGGGGAAATGATTACGGAGCCCGGAGAATGTAGGTCGCAAGATATATCCAATCGCAGGTCTGCAGTGCACTGGCTATTCTGGCGATGGTGGAGTACGCGCGGCGCTTAAGATTCGAAAGCAGCTCGCTAGCTGTAGGGAATGGAGGATAGAAAGAGAGAGGGAGAGAGGGGGGGAGAGGAAGGGAGGAAAAGAGAGAGTGAGAGAGAGAGAAAGAGGAAAGGATAAGGTAGGAAGTAAATCTTTGCCGGATACTACAGCTTTTATGGGAGAGTCCACGATTTTCTTTTTCGAGAAAACGATAACTTTCCGGATTCGAACGTGCGCGTCCGAGAGACGATGTCATGAGGGAGGGGAATCCTAGCCCCTTACTAGAAACGCTGCTTTAGCTTATAGAAGATAAGTAATCAAGATTTAAGTTCGCTGGGCGCGTAATAGAGAGAGAGAGAGAGAGAATTGCCAGAACAAGTGTTCATTGCAAAATCGGTCGAATAACTCTCTCAACGTGTCGCCTCCTTCGGCCACTAAGAGTGCTAAAACGATTCCGGGGTCCACGCCAGATAAAAGGAAAAGCGCGCATTCTCGTGGCAGGGCGATTAACATACTCTGTGTCTCGCTTTACTTGTTCGAGGTCGATGATTGATACATGAAATAACAAACATACCCGCTTGCTATACGTAATACTACGTAATACTACGCAGTTGCGATTTATTTCCATAATTATACAATTTTCCAGCCGGTGCGGAAAGTATGTCAGAACTCAGGGCTCGTTAGCGGTTCCGCGCGACTCAGAAGCGGCTGAAACACGTGGCTTTTGCATCGATCGTGATTTCGTCGAACGCGCGCCCACACACACATGGAAGTACGCCGCGAATGCGCGCGTCATTCGTTGCACGTTCTGCGGGATATTCTGTACTTGGTTGGGCTGGCTTCCAGATGAGCAATGCTGGACGGAATGCGGAATACATCGCAACCGGCCGGCATTCCTACTTAAATCAACATAACTCGGGTGATGAATGGTTAACAGGCTTCGAGGAGAGGGGGGAGGGGACGCAATGCGCTCCATTTATGGAAGCTATTACGGCCGAATTTCAGCGTTAAATGTATGATTTATGGCCGAGCGTATTATCTTCGTTCATGTCCGTCGACGATACAGTGCGCGCGTCCCACCGCACACCCAACACGCCACCCCCTCGCTCTCTGCTCGACTCCCCCCTCCTCCCCCTCCCCCCTTCTCCGCAGAAAATTACTTCGCATTCGGCCGGCGGGAGCGAAAAATCTACCGCCGAGTGTCCATTCGCCGACACCGTGATTAATGCGTTTCTGATTGTTATTCGTAATGCTAGAGAATTTATGGCGCATTAGAATTACGAAGTAAAACGCTGCGCGCCGGGGCACCGTGACGGCGGTCTCCGCGCTCGGCTGAAACGGCGCCTACGAGTGGGAAGATTGGCGCGGGCGCGTTGCGACTCGCGGTGCGCGGAATTTTCCGGCGGAATTGCGAATACCCGAGGCCGAGCGATGGAAATTTCAGAGCGTATTTAAAGTTGCAGTTGCGCCGCGATGCGGAACGAATAATGAACTGCGGATGGAAGGAAATCCGCGAGATATGTATTCGGGCGGTAATCTTAATTGAATGTGGCTAAGAGGCTTGTACGCGCGTCTGTGCGTGTGTGTGTGTGCGTGCGATGCACGCGACCGAGCCGTGTGGTGTGTATATCCGGCGTTTTCCGCTTCCGCTTTCAGGTTCCGACGCCTCCTACGAGACGCAGGGGCCCAGCTTCGTGACGGAACCGTCATCCAGGGTGGAGTTCACGAATGTGAACGGCGGCAGGGTAGACTGCACCGTGCGGGGGAATCCGTTGCCGACTGTCGACTGGCTGGCGGCGGACGGCAGCAGTATAAGCAACATACCCGGTATCAGGCATGTCCTTGGCAACGGGACGATTCACTTTCCCGGTTTCGAGGCCGAGGCCTTCCGGCAGGATGTCCACTGGGCCATTTATAAATGCTCGGCCGTCAACAGCGTCGGCGCCATCGTTAGCAGAGACGTCACTGTCAGAGCAGGTATGTCAACGGTGAAACTTCTCGCTCGTTATCTGCATCGTGCGGTCTCTCCTCACGTTCTCCGTCGTTTTCGTCGTCGCTTGCTGTCGACTGCGTCGTCATATCCTTCGCACGTAGGTCGGCACATAGACGACGCTGCACCGTAGGCGAGCGCGTGCGCGCGTCTATCGCGCGTACTCACGTTCACGGCTCACGGATTCGATCGCTGTTAGTCTAGCGACAGATGAGATGAAATTTCCTTCTCACGTTTACGTATCGCGTGTCACACCGTCGTCGTGGCCGACGTCGTTAAGTAACGAGGTGCTCTCTCTCTCCCTCCCTCCCTCCCTCCCTCCCCGGCATCTGGAGTAATCGAAGCGCACGATCGAATGGCTAAACGCCTGTGAACGCACAGGGTTTTCTATTTAAACCTCGCAGCATACACCCGAGGTCGTCCTTAATCCCGCACAGTTAAAAATGCCGATACTTTATTTCTTTTTCGCTTTCAACTCCTAGAGATGATTTTCCTTTCCATACTTCGTACTATTGCTTCTCGGCAATTTTCGTTCTTACTCTGTTACAGGGATTTCTTTTTATTATGAGAAATATGAGAGACTGGAGTCAATTTTGACTCTAAGTGGATCGTATGCAACTAGTATGTTTTTAACATTTTGATTTTACCAAGCGTTACAACACATCGTTTAGATGTAAAATCATGTTTAATGTAAGAAAGCTTGCATTTTGTGTGTAAAAAATATACAGAGATACGTAATTCCAGAGCAGAGGTGAGCGGTGAGAGTTAAGGGAAAAAAACATGGTTTTCGCGGACATAGTCTCGAACCGCTCCAATGTCAGATATCACATGTTGAAGGTTGCATCAATTATTAGAGCGTGGTCGACGAGTTTAAATAACGAGTTTTCCGTTCCTCTCTCTCTATCTCTCTCTCTTTCTCTCTGCGGCGAAATTCGGAGTAATAATTGAGTGGCTAAGAGCCAAAACCGCAGTTTTTTGTTTCATTTAAGGGAATCCGTGGCTTCCGACAACCATGATTCCAGATCGAACGTTAGGTATATATCGCGTGTTGGGCGATTAAATAAATCACTTACCGTACGAGATAATCGTCGGCGATTTAAATAATGAGACTTTCTGCTCGCGATCAGATCTGGCGCCCCAATTTAAGTGGATAAGAGCTGTACGCTGTCAGACCGGGGCCTCTAACACCCTATTAATTTCCGACACGCTCCATTGAACGTAACAGAATTTCTACACGGGAATTTTCATTAATATTTGTTCACACTTTACACAAGAGGAACGTGGCCCCTCGCGCGCGCGCGTGTTCGCGATCTCGGATCGCGCGAATTGATGAAAATTGCGTTTCGCGCGCGCCTTCGCCGCGCTTCGTCACTGAAATCATGTTAACGGCAGAGCAGATCCGTCTACGGAACGGATTCTTTTTGCTGCTGGGCCGGCGCGATACCTTTCCAAAACTCGCGTCTACGAGAGTATCGAAGTAGAAGACGACGACGAGAGAGAAAGCGGCGGGGACGGATAAATGGAGTAAAAGGAGGCCGCGAGGCGCCTTCAAAAATAGAGCTTCCGCCGGGTCAACGAACCGGAAGATATCTTATCGACCTAATACGCCCGTAAATCATCGTCGCGTGAACGCAGCCCATACCTTTTCAGATTCATGCCTGGTACTGCTCTGCCGCGTCAGCTCCTAGTCTCCGCCTCAGCCATTTTCTTTTTGCTCATCTTCCACGGTCTCATCCTTCCACGGCCTTCCAAGCCCGTCTCTCCTCGGCTACGCTGCCCGACGATTTCGGCGCACACTTCGTCTTCTTCGAGAAAAATCTCTCCCGCTCGTGGACACGTTTCCTCCTTGTTTTGGAAACAAAACTGATATGATTGCGTGCGCGCGATCGCTCGAGCGACGTTGTTGCCGCTTACCGCCGGAAACGTAGCTTTTCTCCCCTCCCTGCCCTGTCGAAGAGTACTCGTACGTAATCGCGATGTCTCGTTGCGAGAGAGAGAGAGAGAGAGAGAGAGAGAGACGGAAAAAACGAGAGAGACAGTGCGCGTAACATCATGCGGAAGTTTTGTTGCTTCTGCAAGCTTGGCTCCGCGGCGAAGAAAGCTTTTAGCAGTTGACGTCCAAGAGAGCGAGTCTCGTAAACTTCGTTTACGATTTCTAGTTGAGTCCGAGGTGGTCTATTAATTATTTCGCGGATATCGGGCTGGTTCTGAAGAGATGGTATATTTCGCTTGTTAGTGGTACACGCTCGATCGAAATACATGTCTCGCGGGAATAACCTACGGACGTATCTCCGCAGAATTATGAGATGAACCGGCCATTATTTTCGTCGTTTCTTGGCATGTCGCGTCGTCGGCCGTTTCGGACGAAGCAGAATTAACTACGACGAGAGACGATGAGAAGAATAACCATCGACGAGGTATTACTTGCAAGTAGAGTAAGAGATATAAACAGAGAAGCAATATTGAGCTCGAAATATCGATAGTTGCTGGATATATACCGAAAGTCAGCTATTTTTCTTCTATGATGATACTTAAGACTTTCGCACACGAATCGACGTAACTGTAAACATAAACTGTAAACATAAGACATGAATTCAAGCTGAAGAAATAATCAGAATTCCTTTAGGTTCGTGTACTCTAGAAAAAGATGGAAGTGACGATGTGACTAGGACTTAAATCGAGTAATTAGAATTCCAATCTGTCTAATCCTAGTTACTTCTGCGATCAGATTTATCGTCAAAGAGAGAGAGAAAGAGAGATTCTATTTTTCTCTAGAGTACATAAATCTAAAGCAATATCCTGATTAGTTCTTCAGCCTAGATTTACGTCTACTTATGGTTATGTCAATTCGTGTGCGAAAGCTTTTAGGTCGGGAGCATACATAGAAAAACTTAAGTAGTGAGACTTAAGCAGTTAAGAAACTGACCAACCACAGTCGATTGTTCTCAAACCATAAAGAGAATAGTCGATTGATCGATTTGCTTGCTGCTTACGTCTTACTGTTTACGTTTACTGTTTACGTTTGTCCACGTACCACTAACCTTAGAGCAAGCGAGTGAGCGGAAGTGAGAGAAGAAAGATGGATAAGAAAGGTTACGTTGCAAGAAGGAGGGTAAACCTCAATAATTAGTCTCATTAAGAATACTCTCCCCATACTTTGTACAGCTGCTGGGCGCATTGAAGAAGAATTTGTTGTGATATACCAAAATTATAAGAGAAAAAACATAGCGCGCAGGTCATGTGACCTAGGAAATTAATCAAACCGGTCCCGCCCGACGTTGCTTCTTTATTTATATTTAGGATTCCATTTGCAAGGGCGTTCAGGCTAAATGTCGTCGTTCGATATACGATAGGTCATTTTGCAACCATGCACGCGGTGCACACACACACACACACACGGTAGTTGTACCATTTCGACGCGGGTCGGACGAATAGCGAACGCCGTGCTTCAGAAGTTCACGTTTGCCGTTTGTTCGACAATGGCTCGCGTTACGAACATTTTTGTGTTCGGTCGAATGCTCCCCCCGCTCGTTATTTATTTTAACGAAACGAACAAACAATACAGTACAGTAGTCGACATACTCGAGGATTCGTAGATTTTGCTGTTCTTTGTTTGCCGTACCCGCCGTACGATGTACAGCGACCCCGAAAGGCAAACGTTGCGACGTTGCATTACTCCCCGCGTATATACAAGGCGTTGCCTTATACCGAGAAAATGAGGAAGTTTAACGACCGTACCGGTGCTCTTTTATAAAAACTACAGGAACCGTGCGTCGCTTGCCTTTACGGTACAAGACAGTCACGTTTTCCCAACCCTCGCGAACTTGGCAGCTCATCGTTTGAAGATAACTGGAATGTGCGTGCCCGCGTTACGACTTTCTCGCGAATTTCGCACCGCAAGTTTTACACGCGAGAGCGATCATGTTACTCGATCTGCCGGGATACATTATCCCCGCTAACTATTCATTACGCCTCGCGAACAATGAATTATCGCTTTAATTATACGCGATCGGAGGACTGTTGCTGGTAATATCGAGAAAGGAGCGGGTAGATCGACGAAAACCGCCTCTGTTCAAACAAATCGCATGCATTAAGCAAATTACGCCCCGACGCGATAGAAAACTGTCTCGACTCGTCGCAATTATCGAATGAGTCGGTGATTTGTCGCGGCAAACATATAATTTGTCCAATCGACGCACGCGATTGATGTTTGTTCGAACGAATTTCACTCACCGCCCGGAGAGTCGGGCTTTCGTAGATTCAACCTTTTTCAGCTTTTTCCTGTGTTTTTTTTTTTTCACAAGGGCGGTTCCCCCGGTTTGCGCGGAATATGCAATTTTCGTTGTTCCGCCCGAGTCCATTACGCTCTTCAATTTCTAAGCGTAACGCGGAAACGTACCTGATAATATTGCCCGCACTCGAGATCTTAAAACGTCGCCTCCGCGTAGATTCGTCGTCGTGTAATCACGTCACCGCGACAAAAGCTCTTCGAGACTTTCGCATAAAATCCGACTTGTCGAAAAAGTCGCGGTTTTCGGGCGAGCTACTCGTTTCTAACGGATGATTCTCAGAGAGGATGGATGTGCCCTGATGAAGAGAGCTGGTCGGTGCCGCTTTTGCATGCTTATCTTCCTCTCTCGCTCTTTGATTCTCTCCTCTCTCTCTCTCTCTCTCTTGTTCCCCTTCTGCTCACTCTTCTTCATTCCCGTTTCTCCTTCCTGCTCGTTTCATGGTTTGTAAATATTACCTGCCACGAGACGTCTGCCGAGTTTATGTTCGGCTTGGTTGCCGCGTAACCGAGAGCTGAGCGATACGAAGGGAGAAAGAGAAAGGAAGACAGAGAGGTAGTCATAGAAGGGCGGATGAGGGAAACGCAACGAGAAAGGGAGAGAGAATGGGGGAGCGAGCGAGTGGACGGGCGGGGGCTTGGATGGAGTACGGGCAAACTCACTGAGTTTTTACCCCATTCTGGAGTCTGAGTGCCTCGCTCCGCTGACTCTCGAAACGGGTTGCGGAGGCAGAGCTCCACGCACCACCACACCACAGCGATTCCCTGGCTGCTACCATCGCCCGGTTTCCTATCCTCTTTCTTCTTCTCCCGGCCTCTCTCTCTCTCTCTCTCTCTCTCTCGCTCTCGCTCACTCAGACTCCTGCCTGACTGCCTGCCTCGCCTTCCACGTTCTTTACAACCTTATTCCATCCCCCTCTTAGACATGCCCTTACCAACCTTTCAGCCGAGCCCATCAACTTACGTGGGCTGCTGGGTCAGGGGCGGATCGCGACACGAGATTTCGGATAAGACGACGTCCTTTAGGATTTTCTATTCTGACCGTGTTGTGTCCCTATGCTTATATCAAGCTCTCGTGTGCCTTTTCATTAGCGTGTAACGTCAGCCGCCAGTAGAAATGATGGGGAATGATGCGATTTTACATGAAAAGGAAAAAAAAGGAGGGAAGTTTACGCGGCGCTAGATTTTTCATGTGTGAATTGAGGTTGCTCTTTCTTATAAATATTTTCGTTGGAACCCGCTACACCGTTGATGCGAATAATTCTTTCAAAGGATTCGACCGTCTCTCTAAAACTGGGTGTTCTGCAATACTCGCGTGGGAACATAAGAAATTTATTTCTAAAAACATTTGTACATGTATAAAAAAAATATATATATATGTGTGTGTGTGTGTGTGTGTTAATGCAAATAAAACGGGGGTCTTAATTCCATTATTTATTTATATGAGAAAAGACAGCTGAAAGGTGCACGGTGAAGTAACGTTAATTAACGCACAGGTTCTTCTCATCTTTCCGCAGTGCTAAATACTCAGCCATTGTGTTCCTTGTATTCCCGTTGCCCCATCATTATATTTGTACTAAATTAATGGTAGTTATTTGTTAACTCATTTTATTAACTGGTATAAATTCGACATATCGAATGTACGCAACGAATGTAACGTGCAATGTTTATCCGCAAATATGCGTCGAACAGATCATTAAATGTATAGAGTCGGATGCGCAAAATTACGTCGCGCTTGTATATTGTGGCGTTGTGTTTGTACGGGAGGGTTTCGAGTCGTCAGAAAAGTGAACGTCGTTAGAGGCGCGTGACGGATCGTTCCCGTCCTGCTTCTTATCGGACGGTGCGTTTATTAAGCCGGAACTCGCAATGAGACCCGCCCGGCGACGGCTATGAGCGCGACTCGCGCGACGCCGTTAACGTTCTTACGGTTTCGACGAGAGCCGCTGTACGGGCACAGAGGGGTGAAAATTGTCGTTACGTGTTACAGTGGTGAACCAGCGTTACGACCCGGAAGTGCAAAGTCCCAGCGGCTTCCACGGCAACAACGTACTTATGCGCTGCAACGTGCCCAGTTTTGTTCGCGATCACGTCACGGTCACATCGTGGCTTCAAGAACCAGCTTTCAATATCTATCCCTCTACGTTGGGCGGTAAGCATTATCGACGTGTGACGCTGACGCTGTTGCGTTAGGAACGGCATCCGCCGAAATAAAATATAGACGAACACGCCTGTGGTATGTTGTTTGTGTGTGTGTGTGTGCGCACGCGCGCGCGTTTGATGCGGGGGAGGGGGGTGACGCTTCCTTCAACAATAGGAGAAGCACATCGTACCGTTCTGGAACACTACAAAACCGTTTGTACGCGCGGCTATCGCGCGAGCATCGTTGCATCGTAATAATTAATTGTGTTATTATATTATTGGAAAATGGGAGTTACGTTACATCGCGTCATTTACGCTCGCGCACATATAAACATGTAATTCCCTTCCGATCGATTTAGAACCACCACCACCACCACGATGTGCGACAGCCGCAATGTGTAATTCGAGCCCGATGTGTGTTGTTGTAGATGGCAAATATCATATGCTGCCGACCGGCGAGTTGATGATAATCAATATTACACGAAGCGACGTACAGATGACTTATCGGTGCAGGACGCATCACCGGCTAACTCAGGAAACCGTCGTCAGCAGTAATGTGGGACGCCTGCAACTGACCGGTGAGTGTGTCATAGATTTTTCTCCTCCTCGTACTACACACAGGAATGCTTCCGCCGCGCGCATTCGTTTTTTTTTTAAGGTACTCTTCGACTGGGGCCGCGCTTGATCTTTTATTCCGCGCTCCTAATATATCGAGGCAAAAATCATTCATCGCGATTCGCGAGCGTTTAATACGTTACACCCCTGCATACGACGCGAAACGGGGGCGTCGGATTAAGAATTAACACGTCGTTAAAGTGTAAAATCTTTTTTGCAATTAACCGCAAAATATAACTTGTTAATTATTTTCTCCTTTGAAAGCTCGAAGCCTTTCAATTTTTAATCGTTAATTACGCGAAAACAATTGGGATCTTTCAGCGGTATTTACATCGGCGAGGAAATTTGATTCCATGTTGCAGAATAGATGATTATTTTTTTATGGAAAACAACGGTGTAATAACGCGTGTTTCATCGACGCTTTTCTAACGTTTCCTCCGCGTAATTACGGTGTTGTTGTGTCGTCACCGTTGCCATTAATAATTCACCTTAATTCAGAACTGATTGACGTGCGGAAATAGGTTCGGTTCTATCGCTGCATTCATCGCGCTTTGAACAAAGATGGGTTGTTCCAACAATTATTAAATTTTTCAAAACGTAAATAGAAGAGAGCTCGGACACAGGATATCCGTTGTGCTTGTCGGACGGTAAATTCCGGTTCCGCCTCGAGCTGAACGTATATCGGACGTATGGCGGAGTTTAATTAAATGTTTACTTTACCCGTACTCGATTCGATCGATACCGCGGCAATTATACTTCCTATTTTTTCTTTTTTTTTCCATTCGCAATGAAAGCGGCCAAAGAAGAACGTTGAGAAAGGAAAATTCATCGAAATTTTTAATACACGCGCGCGTGTATTATATGCCGCTCGCTGTTCGATATATTATCGTGTATAATATTTATTTCCGTGCGAAATGAATATTCAACAAAGAACAGAAAAAATCACCCATTATCTTCTTTGCCAATAATTAACATCCCGTCGAAGAAAGGAATCGCTTAAAGTCAAAGCTCCCGAGAGAGAGAGAGAGAGAGATAGAGAGACAGATAATAATTTACCCCACGAAATATCACCATCGTTTTTTTTACACAATTTGTTCTCTTAAGGCAATTCTCCTATTGCGTCGTAACATTAAACTCGAGTGTCTCATCTCGTGATGGCGAAGATCGTGAAGGTGAAAAGGAGATAAAAGTAGCCGCTTTTGACTGCCAACGCGAAATTGTCATGGTGGCTCCTTTAATGGTAATCGATACTTAATTATGTAGCGACCTGAGGGAAAACGACGACGTATATAACGTCCTGTAAATTATTAGAGGTCCGTACAAACGCGCGAGGAGAGCGAGGGAAAAGCGTGAAAGAGTTACGTCTCGCGGGCATGACGGTCTGACTGGAGACGTATCTCTTCTCCTAAGATGTCATATCGCGCGGTGCTTTAATCGAATCCGCACGAACGTGGACTGAAAACTAAATCTTCGTGTTCCCTCGCCATCTCGCAGCGAGACGGTGATCGATCTAATAACAGCGAGCCCTTAGGAATTACCGAAGGCACGCGATATCTATTGTTACTTAACAACAACGGTCGCGCAAACGCGCGCTTCAAATTGATCTCCCGCGTAATATGCAAAATATGTAGGGCAGATGTGGGAGTGTTGGAATAATTGTGACATTTTGTCTTCCACAGCTCTTATTTTTCAAAATTTCATCGCAACACAAATTGAGATTGATTTGTTACTTTACCGAGGAAGTTAATACGAAGTTTGAATGAATCTTAATAATTCATTACGCAATTAAATAGATTGTAAAGCCGAATATTTGTCCCAATTTTCCCCTTGTCAGGGGGAGATGGGACAAATTAGGGAGAATTAGGACAGAGTATAAGAAGTAACTAGACTTTAATTATTAATGCATTTATTATTTTAAATTGAAACATTTATTAATGTCATTCATTAAAATAACATTTATTAAAATTTTGCCATTTATATAGTAATTTTTATTAAAATAACATTTATTAAAGTCACTCATATGTATATTCTAAACAATACGTGTGTTCTACAAACAAAAAATAAATAAAACAAATAAAAACAATAAAAAAAAAAAAATCTGTTTGTCCTTTTTCCAAATATGAAGTGAAACAATAATTTTTTTTTATAGAAACACAATAAATTAAAACTAAATTTTTCAAAATAAATTATATAAAGGATAATATTTTTTTCCGTTTGCTTAAAGTCTGCTGTAAAACTTAAGGATTATATATTAGAATTAGATTATACATTAAATAAAATGCAACCATCAATGAAGATATCACAAATATTATAATAAGAAAATAATCACTTTTGATAATCAAAGATGGTTTCATTTACTTTGATTTAAAATTGTAATCTTTACAACTTGATAAACTAAACCTTCTTACATGTCACACAGAGACACATCAACTGCTTTTCGACTAAAAACGTGCTTACAACTGTTAGAAAGAAAATAATTTTGTCCCTATTCTCCCTCGGTATCAACTCTCCTTCATCTCCCCTATACAGAAATGTTGTTCGCAAAATAGGAATATAGGAATACCGATCCGCGCCCTTTCAGGGAGGATCTTCATTGTGGGATAGCGGAACCTCTTTCTCCGGAGGTTGTGCCAGATTTTCGAAAGTCCGAGAGAGTGCGGAAACTTTAAAACTACGAGATTCTCTCATGATATCACAAATTTCGGGGAAGACGCGCGACTTATTTAAAGTTTCTCGTAGGTTCGTGTACGGGCGGAGAGGGACAGAGAAAGAGAGAGTGGGGGGGGGGGAGAGTCGTCGTGATTTCGCGCGTGTTTCCGCACATATTTCTATATTCTTCACTCGCGAGCGCAGAGTTTTCTGTGAATTTCAGGCTCAGCGGATGCGTCCGGAACAATACTCATTATTGGATATCATTATTTTGTAAATACTGAATGAGCCATTGTAACTATATCCGATGTTAAACACAGCCGTGTAATTGAAAGAGTACACGCCGGTTCAAAATTAACCGGGCGGCGCCGGATAGGATTCGGCCGGACAATGTTTGAAATCTATAACCGACGCGCCGCTTTAGTGTATTTCTAATCACGCAAATATTTCCGACGAACATCAATTAATTATCGCCGCTATTCGCTCGTAGGTTAATTACCTCGTGTATCATTTGACGGGCTGCCGAATAAACGATATATTCGCTGAAAGCTCGCCAATGATGGTACACAAGCAGCGGGTAGTTTGTTGCACCTATACAACTAATTAAGGAGGTCGGGATAAATATTTGTTTAAAGCTTTAGTCGGGAATAGCGCATGCGCGCGCGCTCACGACCGCGGGAGAGAGGTCGAGGGTGGTAAATTAAAAGAAAAAAGTGATGCGTCAGCCGCGCTGTTTCGATCGCGCGCGGATTCCTCCGAGTCTCACGACAACACGGAGTTAGTGTCAAGTACTTGTGTCGTTAACGGAAAAACAAATAACTAACGAGGAGGCGCGTCGAAAGACGGCAATAACGAAGCGATCCGCCGCGCTTTATGCACAAGCGCTTCGTTAATAGCGATAAAAAAATTGCGCGCGGTGTTCGATAACGCGAGAGAGTTCGGTTCCCGGAGAGGTGTCGGCCGGCGGAATTGCCGTTTGTGTGCCACCGCATAATCAGGCAAGAAAAACCGATCCGACGTGCCCAGGCAAGAATATCTCGGCGGACGTTAAAAAATTCACGGGTTTCAATTTTCCAGAAGCGCGCGCGTTCGCTCGCTCGCTCGCTCGCCTACCCGCTCTCGTGCACTCGTAATAAAGCTGGTATGCGGGACCTGCCGCGCCGCGCTGGATGTTTCCACTGTAAGATAGAAATTTATGCTAAGCGCACTTACGTAGTTAATAACTTAATAATGAAGTTCGGGGAGAAATTTGATCGTTTGCATATTTCGGCCCGCCCGGCTAGCGCGCCCACCCGGGCGACCGGCGTATACTAAATTAACCAAAATCTCGATGTACAGTAGTTTTCCGGAGTAACGAGGAAACTTTTCGGCATTATCCGACCCGCCGTATGAATCCCCCACCCCCCGGCCTCGAATTTAGAATTGGCACGGAGAGCGCTTAACGTTTCTCGCACGCGCGTCGGGAAGATATAATATCGCGCGTATCAGGGCCGACCGTAAAATAATTCCGCCGCCGGCACGATGCTGCCGGTGGATTCGTACCGCGCCGCAGTGCGCGGACACGTTACGTTACGCCCGTTTGATTTATCGCGGACTACAAGGCTTGGATTTTATCGCCTCCGTGTAAAGAGACGTGCGCTCGAAATCGGGAAATTCGGAGACGATGACTCGCGATGACCCGCGACAGATCCGTTTCGATAACAATCGACGGTCCGCAGTCCTTTGTTTCTACCCCGTGTCTCCGTGCTCCCACAAGCGTGTCCTCCATTACCCGTCTCCGTCTCCAGAGATGTTCAAACTCGGATCTACAATAGGGTCTGTAGTTAGGGATGTTGTGATACTGCAGATATGATACCGGTATCGATATTTTTCTTTCAGTGTCGGGTATTTCTGTATCGGTATTTTCTTTCGATATTCGTACTCGTATCAGTATACTACTTTGTTTCGACGTCCTCGTTCGATATGTTTTTCTTTAATTTTTTCCTCGGTCGATCTTCGAGATATCATGTATTTTTGCCTCGTGAAAATTGGTGTAACGTGCAACTAATGTTTTGCGCCTATTTCTTCTCATGACTCGCGTTACGTTAATTTTATGATTATTTACTGATTGACGAAATAAAGGAAAGCGTATGGACATTATTACAAATGTCCCAATGATATCGATACTCTTGATACTTTAGATATATCCGTTTCAATACCAGCATCGATATTTTCATAGTATCATAATCATTTGTAAATGTAGCAGGTTTTTAGTCTTTTGCTTTAAACAATAAAATCTAACGTAATTTATGACAGAAAGAGTTTCTCGCGCTGTCGGAAGTTGTAATAACACTTAAATCTTGTGAATCGCGACGTCTGATAACGCTGGGAATGCTTTTTGCTAGAAATTACGTTGCAATTTAGCGCTTAGAATAAAAAGCCAGAGGTTCACCGCGCCTATTGTCGGATCCAGGCTAATGAAATTGTTTGAATAAAATCGTTCGTATTCGCTGCAGTTTTTCCTCGGCGAATTACATCACCGTAAATGGAATTTGTTACCTCCATAAAAGTTATATTTTTATTAAATCGCAAATATAATATATTAATAAAGTATAACTAATGTGTAAGGTATTCGCGCGGCTCGTGTAATTAACAAATAACGATGGTGTCGGCGTTTTGTTATTAATTGGAATCATAACGTTAAATCAAACGATATGCCACACACGGTTACCGTATAAACGTATCTCACGTAAACGATAAATATTTTCGTCGCGACGTGCACGCGAGGGGAAGTGTATGAACGCGCCCGAGTATTCGTCGCCGTAATCCAGCGCATTAATTCCCCGTTAAATGTAACAGCACGTATGCGCCGCTGTCCACACATCATTTGATCGCGAAATAACACACGTGCCGAAGAGGGCACTTGAGTATCTATGGACGAATCAATAAACCACGCTGCATTTCTACCGCAGATATGCGCCGGATAGATTGAGTGGCTCGATTTTAACAGTGCGACGTGAAATAAAAATATCTGCATTTGCAATTGAACAAATGGGATCACGCGGAGAATGTACGAGGACGTTTTTGCATTAATAACACAATAAAACGCGTACTTAATTTCGCAGTATGCAACTTCAATTCGCCCAATTACCTTAAGGCCGATTTTATTTTGCACTCGATGAAATATTTAGTTTCGAGAGTAACGTGAAATAACACGACGTTAATCGTGCGACGAGTTCTCCTCTCTGGTTGGAAAACTTCGCGGTGAATATTTACTCAAAATGATGCCGGTATTTTAATCGACAATGTTTGAATTTAAAATCGAATAAATACTTACTTACGTCCCTATACGCGATATCTCTGAAGAGGTTAATCGTGAAATTATCTCGCACGAGAATATTCGAATTTCCGCGCGAAGGGAAAGATTACCTCGTGAAAATACGTCGGCGGAGGTAGGCGCAAATTGGAAACGCAGGCTATTTTTTAATAATGCACCTGGCAGCGTGTTAATAAAGAATGTACCGCGTAAACTTAATTAACGAATATAGTTTAGTCTTTGTTCTCTGTATCAAGCGATGCAACTGAAGCATTTCGTGCAGCGAAGCGTGTCAAAAATTTCTTTTGAAGCTATTTTTGTTTAGTATTTTATACAGAGAATACGCCACACACACTCAATCGTCAGTCGATTTTCTCCTCTCATCTTTCATTTTCTCTTTTCTCTAAAGCATCGCGAAATGTGTTACTAATGCGAAACGCGTACGAGCGTGGGAAGTCGCTGGACGTTGCCATTCGTGCGGAACATAATTTTTCCGACGGCTTTGATAGCGCGTGACATAATTTCAAATTCTCGCCAAAGCGCGGAGATATATCGTCGTTATCTAACATAGTTCCGCTTCATAGTGCGCCGTGTCGTAAGACGTGGCGTTATCTGCGACCATAACTCCCCATTAAACGTCGCGCTGGATGCGTGCGCACAGTCCTGCTTTTTTCCTTCTCTCTTCTTCCCGCTGTTCTCGCCCATCCCGCCACGAAATCCTGCCGGTCTCCACCCCCTTCCCTCCTTCTCTCTCTCTCTCTCTGTCTCTCCCTCCCCCTCTTTCCTCGGAGACGACAATGATTTATGAACATATTTTCCACGTATCACGCAACAAACTTACCCGGAATCGGCCCCCAAACGTGAAGCCGAGTAGCCGTCGTAGATTTTAAACTTCGATCTCACGGCAGAATTTACCTCGCGCGCGCCCGTTCCATCCGCTCCTTTTTTCAGAAATTCGGGGCTCCATGCCGCCTATAATAAACGAGAAGCTGGTCTACATGTCGTCACGTCTGAAGGACACCGTCGTGATCCCCTGCGTGGCCTACGCCAACCCTACGCCGTCGAACAGGTGAGTTTTCGCAACAATCAATCGTTTATTTCGTCAACGCACGTTGCAGATCAATTAATTAAATTCGATTGTCAAATAAATCAAATTAAATTCATTTCATCAACGGAGCGTATATATTTGTACAATAGAGAACGGGCGAGGTCGCATTTCCGTTTTGCTCGTAGCTTCATTCCGGGGTTATTGTGGTATAATGTTTCCAATGTTATAATTCTGCGAAACACCCATAATTACGATTTAAATGTATTTTTCTCGTCGACCTCTTGGTTTCCCGTGCACCGCTCCGTCGGAACTAGCGCGACCTCGGGGCACGCAATTAAACGGTAAGCAGGCGTTTACTTTCTGCCTCGCCCGTGCGATGTTGTTGAGTAATCAGCATACGAAATATATATATATATATATATATATAACAGTGAGTGTTAATTAAAAGTGATGCGAAAGATCAACAAGACATTTCGTGAATGCGTCACGCGCGCATGGCGAATGCGAAATGGCAGTCGAATTTCGCACACGTGACCGGCCAGTGTGAATGGCAGTTAATAACGAAGAGTGACCGCGATGTTCACGATAAATATTGACGATTCAATATTAGGTTGAAGCCGGCGAAACAAATCGATCGGATTCCAATCCGGTATCCGATTTTCTAGCGAGGAATATATAAAATACGACGAATGCGAATGTCTGTTCGCGGTTTAGAAAGAACCAGCGCGAACTCCCGTCATTGTGATTCTCTTTGATCGATCGGACTTTATATTCCTAATTTATGTTTCTGCAATTTACGCGTATGTCTATTACGTAATTTTTCCCAACGCTCAAACGCTGGAAGAATAACACGATTAATTGCATGACAATTCAAAACATAATGCGTATCTTTCATCTCTCTCTCTCTCTCTCTCTCTCTCTGTCTCTCTTTTTCTCCCTCGTCAAAAGCGCGGTGCACACGCACGTTTTTGTTGTTGAATCAAACGCGTACGATTTAACGGTGTTTTGCCTTGGAAACACGTTCGCGTTGAACGAAACTGCGACCGACAGCTGTGTGACGAGGAAATTGGAATCTTTGTGCAAACAGTCGAGCACGTGGACGATACTCATTCGCCACCAGACATATCGCTCTGTCTCTGTTTTCCTTATATTAATGCTAATTTTAAACATAGATACGACCGGAATATTTCGCGCGATATGAGTTTCTCATGCGGAAACGCAAGAACATTCGGAGTTCATCGACACGCGGGACTTACGTTAGATGACTAGAGGGAAGGTAAACCAAACGGGGAAACAGTGCTGCGGGATATAACGTGAGAGACGCTTCTTCCTCTCCGCTTCGAGTATTAAATATTGCGTTAACGTGAAACCGACTCTCGAAGTATTATCCTTTCCCCGGTCACGATCTATTTATCCACGAGGAGAGCGTACGGGAAAAAAGAGGAGCAGATGAGTGGATAAAGACGACGACGACGTCGCGTCGAGATAGCGACTTTTGTTGTGTGTTGAGCGATAGAAGGGGAAAAGACAGAAAGAGAAAGAGAATATGCAAGGAGAAGAAGGAAAGGAGGGAGAGAGAGTGAGAGAGAGAGACGGACGAGAAGCTCTACGAAACTTGTTGCGTAGGAGAGACCGTGTTATTACAATGGATTACGCGATTAGCAACTAGTTTGGTTCCATCATTGATGCCGCGAGCGGCGTATAGGGGATCGCGGGGGGGGTAATCAAACTTGCGTCGAATGGGAACATACGCTGGTACTATTGTACAACGGAATGTATTTGGTATGGTCACGGATGAACGGGCGATCGAGAATCATTGCGATTCATTCTCATTTGTTACGGATTTCGCGTCCATTTGATATCGAAATCCTTTTCCCATGTCTATCAATGCAAAATGAAAATTTCAACGTCGCCGGCACATAAATATAAATAAATAAATAAATATATATATATATATATATATTTATATATATATAACGTGCATATATATATATGTGTGTGTGTGTGTGTGTGCGTGTATTGATCGAAGTTTGATCATACGTGCGTAAAATTGTAGAATCGATGCGGATAGAGCGCGGTTCGGTTCGCGCGTGTATGCGCGCGTAGATTGGCGGCTCTATGCGCGCACCTCGCGGCGCCGTAGCCGGGGGATGAACGAAGATAGTCGGAAGATATATAGACGTCGGGGGAGAGCTGTATGGGTAGCGCAAACAAACCGACCGCTGATTACAGAGACTGCTTCTGACAGCCCATCAAATATTCCGCATTTACGTATACGTCGACGTCACTGAGTATTCCATGCTTGTGTTCATCAACCGCTCGTTCCCTCTCCCTCCCTTCCTCTGGCCCTCTTCTTCCGTACCGCCTCTTGCCTCCTCTTCCTTCTCCTCCTCCACATCCTCTTCCACCTCCTCTTTTCCTCCTCCTCCTCACCTAGCCGTCTCTTCCGCGGGTTGATTTAGCCGACGGAAGAGAGCACGGAGGGGAAGGGGGAGTCTAGAGAAGGTGGAGATAGGGATAAGGGATACGGAACTGAAGGAGAAGAAGAGAGAGAGAGAGAGAGAGAGCGAGAGCGAAAAAGGAAGAGGAACGAGAGAGTTGAATAGATGAACGAAGAGGAGAAGAGAACGAAGATAGAGAAGACGCGCGGCGGGGCGAGAGGAGAGTTTGAGGGTTCGCCGCCACGGCAGAGGCTTCCATCTCCTCCGGGTTCCCTCGCACTCGAGCATCCCCTATCCCATCTCCTTCCCTCGCCAATTTCCCTCCGTAAATTCGATTATCTATAGGTATACTCCTCATCCCCGTGGCTCCACTTCTGCCGCTGCCGACGTCGCTGCCGCCACCACCGCCGCTGCCGCCGCCATCTCCGCTCCCGACTCTCTTCAGCCTCCTCATCGTTGTCGTCCTTCCGCGTCTCCCCCGAAGCGGAGTAAGCAAGACCCCGGACCATGCTTTAGCGGATTTCTAAACCACGTGGGGCCGATCGCCGCCGTAAGAGAGAGAGAGAGAGAGAGGGGGGAGCCCAACTAGACGGAGAGAGAGGTTACTCCGTGCGCGCGGGGGAGGAAAGGGATGATGCTGGGGCTAATGGCGCGTTACGAGCAATCGTGGAAAGATGAACTAGCTCTATTCGGTCTCGATAAACTTCTCGTAGGGCGATAAGGGATTCGGATCGACTTAGATATCGAAGGATAAACCGTAAAGTAAACTCATTCTCCGCTATTTACGAGCAGTCGATGCTCGATTTATATTTGGATTAGTTTTATTTAATGACCATGCAATTAATTTAAATGGAAGCGTTCCATTTAACATCGAGAAGACACAAACGCAAATTAATTTAGACCAGATGGCTGTAGCTAAGAAGTAATAAATTCGTCTGACATCATTTTGATAACGTTTAATTCGGCATATATCTCGGTAGGTTTTTACTTATACATACATAATTGGGGCCTTATCAATCTTTAATATAATTAAAGTGCTTGATTCGAGCATTATGGGATTTAAATCAATTGATACGCTAAAGAAATTTAATTCTAATATTGTCACTCTCTTTCGCGCAATTCTTCTCGAATATCTGTGATTACTAATAATATTATATACTTCTCAGAATGAGAGATATAATTGTATCAAGAATACAAATCTCAGAATAACCAATAATTAACACGTATAAATATATACGTGTAACAAATAAATATACGTGTAAATAAATTTTCATTGTCCACGATGATTATTGCGATTCTAAGAGATCGAAATTTTCTTTCGACCGTAAAAGTAATCGGTGAGAAGACAGCGAAAACGATTCTAGCGGACAGTTTTGTGATCTAAGAATTGCACGTTTAAGAATAAGCTCGTTTTGTTTCGGCAACGGGAGAGTATGTTTCTCAAGTAATTTTATTTGAAGAAGGGCTTTATTTGAAATATATTCGCGTTATTTAAAAAATTCATATTATTCCGGCGGCACGGGTATACATATGCGAGTTCGTTAAAATACGAAGCCGAAGCCAACAGAGCAGACTCGCATCGCAGGAATGGGCGGAAGTTTGAAATTTTCATCGGACTTGGAGCGCCGCGTCGCCATTACGGCGGTCGCGTATCGACGGGATTGATAAGATGATATGGGACATCCCCGTCGAAGTTTAACGTTCCGGTTAATACACGCGAATCGATGATACACGATAATACGTTCATAATAACGTTGAATCCGCGCATCGCCCGTCGCGAGCGCGTCGTTGGACATTAATCGAAACATCCACCTGTCGTCGTCGGCCGACGCGAAATAAATGATTTCGCCGGGACTGGCGTGTGTTCTTGCACATCGACGTGCATTTCGCGTCGTTGCGGCCTCCGTGGATAAGGTCGAAGGTCGCGCGTGCCCGCCGAAGATCGATTGGATTATCCCGTCTGGCTGTGAGCTGGTTTAAATCGAGACAACCGGACGCTTTGAATTTTCAATTAAGGCGGAGATCACGGAAACTCGCGGAATTATGCGCGATCTTGCGAGATCCGACGGCGAAAGATGACGGATCCGCGATGAAAATCGCGAACTGGCTTAGTTACGCGATAACACGCGGCGACGGGCACGTTCGTCGTTCCGAGTTAACGACGGGAACGATCGCCGTCCGATGGATCGATGGATCGCCGAACACGTGTTGTATCTTTAATGATATTCTCCGCGCTGATACGGCCGTGCTGTTTAAAAGCGAACATTCTGAAAACGTGCCAGCGCGTATCTCGCCGCGCCATGTGTACACATATGCGAACAATCAGAAATAGGGGGAGGGGGGGAGGGAGAGGGTGCTACAGGCGTATATATAACGTGGCTGGTACAATAGCCGGGGAATACATTCCGGCCTTTCCGATGGAACAATAGTTATTTTGCGGTAAAGCGTGTGCAATAGAGAGATACGGTTTCGGTCAGACGTACGTGCGGTACCTGCGTGCGTGCATGCGTGCGCGCATACGTGCATACCTAGTTACTCCGCCTGCCTAACTAGCTACACACAGTTTCCGAGATCTCTCCCGGTTAGGCAACTATAATAATAATATCGTCGCTCTTTGACGAGCGCGGAAAATGGTAATTTGCATGCACGTTGTCGGGAGGCGCGAACAATACGGGGCTCGCGTCTCTCGCGTCATCTCTCGGTGCGCCATTGCGAAATTCAGCTGTGTCGCGAATCGTGACCACTCATGCTCCGAACGTTTTCTGTCGCAGGTGGTACTACAACAGGAATCAAAGGGAGGAGCCGATCGAGGAGTCGTCGGGCCATTACGTAGTGCGAGACGGCTCTCTGATCGTGCAGAGCGTCGAAGAAAGCGACGGCGGCTCCTACATGTGCACCGCCAGCAATTCCGAGGGCAGCGAAACTTTGGAGATTCGATTAACGGTGTCTGCGCCGCTGAGCGTTCACGTGCAACCGGCGATACAAACCGTCGATCTCGGGAAATCCGCGTACTTGGTAATTAATTGTTATCGTCCTCCTCTTGTTGTCGTTCGACTGCGAGAGTCGAGAGCCGTCCGTTATCGACCGGCCGATTGATTCATTCCGGGCGTCGTGTATATTTCGCGATCTCTCTCTCTCTCTCTCTCTCTCCGTATATATTACAACAAGGGCTCCGTATATTCATCGAGCCGAAGGAGTTGTAATTCCGAGTTGTAATTCCGAATTCTACCGCGTTTCACCACGCGGGAAGCAATAGCGCGAGACTGTGTAAACAACCGGGAAGGAGCACCGCGGGGGAAACATTCGCGCATGCCGGCTTTAAGAACGGCGGAGAGAGTCGCGGAGAGATCGTTTGTAATATATATCGAACACTTCGATTACTGTTATGAATATTTACCGCTGCGTTTTCATCTATCTAAATATTGTAGAGCGCCGCCGACGACGCGGGAAATGAATCTGAAACGCGCCGGAAATTAATGCCGGTCGCGCGGTTCGCGAGTGTGGCGTGCGAATATATATTTTGCGGGGATATAGAGATCTCCGTGACTTCTACGAAGAAGAAGCAGCTCACGTCTTCACGAAGAGAGAGAGTGAGTGAGTGAGTGAGAGAGAGAGAGAGAGAGAGAGAGAGAGTATACCTCGCATTGCTCGTCGAGAAGGATATTCTCCGTCGTCGCTTCCGTGCGAGCTGGCTTGTGCGAGTTCTCTCCTCCTTTCTTGATTCTCATCAGTTCCTTCCGTCTAAACTCCTTTGCAGACGTGCACCGCAAGTGGATTTCCGCAAGCGGTGCTCTATTGGCTGAAGGACGGTCAGCCATTGAGAACGGGCGCCCGCGTAAGGACGGTTTCGAGGGAGCGTATTTCCGTGACGTCGGTCGCGAGAGAGGACCGCGGCATGTACCAGTGCTTCGTACGGAACGAGTACGAAATAGCTCAAGGGATTGCGGAATTGCGCTTGGGGGGTGAGTATTTTACCTCACGTTCGAGATGTATATATAATACATACACGTATATACACACACACACACACACATATATATGTCGTAATATACGCCTTAACATTTTGGGGAGTAAGCTATTATTATCATGTGCGCCAGCAGAAAGTCAAGTACTCTTTAGGATTATCGCGGAAAAGTAGAGGAGAAGGTGATAGCAGCAAAAGATTACAGTTTCTCACTTACATTTTGCATAATAACATTGTTAATAATCAATATTTTAAATTGCAGACTTAACGATTACACTCGTCAAAGTGCTGTTCAAGCTCTTTTACGTTTCTTGCCGTATAAATCACAACATATTTTTAAACGTGTTGACTGGATACATTTAAACATATTAAATTAAATTTTAATACGTATTAAATTAAATTAGTATATTTTTAAATGTGTTCAATCAGTACGTTTAAACGTATTGAATTAATACGTTCGAAAGTGTGCTGTGTGTTTTTCACGGTAAAAAATTCTGTGTTAAATTTGACACGTTTCACATGTCCCAAACGGTCCGTGTACAAATTTTCGTATTAACCCCTTAACCTACGATTTAGATTCGAAAATTTCGGGCCTTGCATCTACCACAATTATTACATCGCTTACCAAATCCCGATCATCTACTACGGGCTATGCCCGTAATATTTACGTTTGGGCTGATCATCTACTACTTGCTATGTCCGTAATATTCACGTTTGGCCCGATCATCTATTACGGGCTATGCCCGTAGTTGTAAGTTAAGGGGTTAATTTAACACAAGATGAATATGTTGAGGTAACACAAATATTATGTCAAAAATTAACACAAAATTAATATCTAAAATATGTTAATCGACACTGAAGTGCAAAATGTGTTATTTAAATACTTACAAGTGTTATTTGGACATTTACACATGTTGAATATCGACTCAACTCAAATAAAATATTAAGATAATATAAATTAATGTACGAGTATGTTGAAAATTCAACACAACAATTTTAACAAGCATAAAACGTTTTTAAGGTAAAAGTACTAATACCTGGACACGTACTTAACTGTTTACACATTCTTATCGTTTTGGTTTTTAAATATAATGTTTGATCTACAAGCGTTCGTACTTTTATATGTACATATATTATATTCAATATATGTACATGTATTCTATGTTGAAAGTCTGAATATTCCTATTTAAAAGCCGACACGACAAGAATGTATTTAGAATTAGCTGCATGTCCACGGGCACTGTACTTTTACCTTGCTATATACGGTAGAAAAAGAGTAAAAAGGGAGCTTCAGCCAAATTACACGCTTATGCGTTTTAAAATAACACACTGGGTTTGCAATGTAAAGAACATAAATTGTAACTTGTATTCGCCCTACACACACACATACACACACACACAGCATACAGTCGGGTCGAGGACGTCATGACTACAATTGGAACAACTTTTAATCACTCGACAGTCGCATCAGCCCGGCGGTGCGCGAATCGCCATTATTATCGTTATTATCATTATAGTTATTATCGAGATAATAGATTCGAAATGTAGTTGTTGTTTAATTACAAGATGTATTTACATCTGTGGCGTGGAGCCCGCCGTAACTAACCCGTCGATCCGAATAAAAGAGAACCGCTTGTTTGTCGAGCGAACGGGTTTCGCGGTGATCGCTTGGCCTTGGTTAATGCAGCGGAACTATTCCCTATACGATCCATTCGCCGACTCGCGTGCCATTCCGTCGTAACGCATTTTCCCATCACGACTTCTCTGCGGGCTACGTGCCATTTTTGCGGGGAAAGTGGCCCCCATCGCTCTTCCGATTGTGCTTTGCGGAGCGTGCCACCATTCGCGGGAACGATAATCGCGGTCTCGATTTCGATTAATTCTCCCGTGGAATTTCGTTAACGGCGCCGACGGTTGTACGTCAACCCGTTTCCCGGTATTATCTGTTTCCCGGACGATCGCCTTCGACCGGAAATCCGATCCGATCCGGGGATGTTTTCTATTAATATGTTACATCTTTTCGAGGGGATTTCGCAAAAGCAAAGCGGCTCGGCGAGAAAGAGAGAGGGACGAATTTTCAATGACGAATTACGTCGCCCGGTCGACGGCCGGCTTGTCGTTATCGACGGGAACGCGAGCGGCCGAGACGCGTTTAACAATTCTCACGGCGCGTTGAACGCCGTTTAATATATGGAATAAAGAGTCCGAGAGAGACGGAGAGCCTCGGATCGAGTGTTTGGCGAACTTGATCAGAAACTTGGTTTGCTCTCGTGCGGTTGTGAAAATGCTGGTTAACGCGGTACCGCGCGGCAACGCGGCGTTCGCTGCTGTTTGCGCAGCATCCCCTCGTAACGTATTTTCCATCGGCCAGTCGTTTCGCCCGCGGGATACGTGCCATTTTTGTACGAAAATGGCCTCGTTTGCCCGCCTCGTTCGAAAACCCCGGTATGAGACCTACCCCCGTCGCGTATCAATGTCCGATGGACAACCGCACGACTCGCGAATTTGCCCCGGAATATAATAAAACCGATTTACGATACGTTTCACCGATAACGTCGCGGCCAGGCGGATGGATTCCGCCGCCGCTGTACGTAACGTATGACGCGCGAAATGCGTTCCGGGTAACTTAGAGAGAACCGTTTCGTCTGAAAAAATATTAGCTCTGCCTCCCCGTGGGGGTTTTTTCGCGGAAAAAATAGAAAGATGTTCTTTACGACCGACCTAAGCGGGGCGGGGGCGCTTCGCTCACAGTTATTGCCCGCATCCGTCGTCTATGTTATTATTGTCTGTCCTACTTTTTTTTTACCGTCCATCATTGTTATATTATTTGTCAAAGTTATCTCTTTAAAGAAAACCGAGCACGGTATTCGTAGTGCCGCAAGAAACCCAGAATGAACATACAAAATGATGTATGCATTTTTCTTGACGCGATTCGTTTTTATCTGGTCTTTCCGTCAAGAAACTCTCTTCTCCGGAATTTTTATTGAATATACGACGCTGTGTTCTGTCAAACGCATCGGTGAATGAGGCGACTTCAGGATCAGATTGCATAGACGGAGGCGAACGCCTCGGTATTTGTTTAAAGATCACTAGCAGTCGTGATTCTCAACAGTTTTTCGACGATTGGTTACTTAATTTCGCGAAATTCTTCGGGATTCGAGCAGTTCGATTTTTGCTTTCTCGCTTAAAAGTTAGATGATAAATATACCTCGTTGTACATTGTTTATGATCTCTACAACATTCTTACTTTGCTCGTTTTATTGAAAAGGGTTGAGGTCAACCGAAATGTTTGGATTGTAATAAAAATTGACAATAACATGTTTTGAACTGTGTCAAGAGGAAAATACATACATATTTTATTTTGTTTATATAACATTATACACAATAGAAATAACGCCAATTTTAATATTTTTTACACGTTCCAGAAAGTCTGTTCTAAATTTGAAGTCGAAATAACTTATTTGTTGTGTGTTATTTGCTCAAAAGTTGAAAATACTATAAAATTGACACTAATTAATTTATACTAACACATTTTCTTCCAAGACAGACGATATTAATTCCTTTTATTTAAATTTTATTTTTATACTAATATTGATATTATTTAAATTGACATATTTAAAATAGTATGTATTATTAATGCTATTTTTGCAGACTAAAAATTTATTTATCGCTTTGTTTTAATCACGTTCTTAAAATGTTCTGAGCCAATGACTATGCTTGAAATCTTCTTAATTATGTGCTATTTGGTTAATTCACTTAATATCGTGTTTTAAAAACGTTTTTATCATTGATGGGGCTTGAACTTGGAAATTTTGGATTTTGAGTCATCTATCTTACATACTGCACTATCGTTACATTTTAGCTACATATATATTTCGTATTACTTATAAATACTGTTAAGATGATAACTATTATCGTGGTTAAAATTAGCATGACTTGTTTGAAAATTTTAACGTATAAAATGTTACCAATAACATTCGGTAAAATGAACCTCTTCGTTAATCAACACTGAAATATAAAATTCTTTATCTTGACACTTATACATGTTGAATAACGATTTAACGCGATTTAAATGCTAAAATAACAAACACGATATGTTAAATTAATTAAGCAATTACGCTAAAGAACTCGAAATAATATTTCATTTTTAAATGGTACACATAAAATATTACCATTGTTACCAAATATTTTCATTTTTAAATGGTACCCATAAAATGTTAACTAAAAGGACATAAATATAATGCATGAAGATGTCACGAAAATATGATGACATATCAGTTATATATTAATTTTACGTTGGAGTAATAATCGAAAGTAGATAACACGAGGAAAGTTTAACGTTTGAACACAAGATCTTTTACAGTGTTAAGTACTGTACTCGGCTCTTCGTGAAAATTATACTGATAATTTTCAATTTAACAAATCCTTATCATCTTTTTTATATAAAATTGCCTCTCTTATATCCTGCGAATCGTCACCAGCGTCGTTATTATTAATCGCACGTGCGGTAACGTTCGTACGCGCGGTCGTGCCATGTCGTGCACGAGGCAACGTTACTTTCAATTAAACTTCCAGATGTAATTTGTACGTCCAGTCCTTAACCCCCCCGAGTTTTTATTTTATACCACTTCCTTCCTCCTCGAGGATATTGCCGCTGGCAAGGGGGAGAGAGAGCGCGCCGAGTTCGTGCCGTTCTTACGAGCGATTTGTACATTTCTAGAAGTTCGTACGGGCTTTCGCGGCCATTAACCTTTATACGGCCCGGCATTTGGTAACTTTTATGACCTTTGAAACTTTAAATTTTCTTTCGAAATCGCTTATAGCCTCCACTCCGCTGCCGTTGCCGAGTGTCGGAAACAGTAGCTCCGATCCGCTTCGTGTACAGTTTTCGTCTCCTTCGCTGAGCCGCGATTCGGGTTCGAGTATCGCGAGCTTACAAGTCAAACCGCCGCTTTCTTCCTAGCTACCCGATTTTCTCGCCGATTTCCAAATAATTCAGCTTTGTAATTTTCCCCTCGTCCGACACAAAAACCGCGGATAATTACGTCGGTTTACTTGATCAAAACTGAACTGCCGTCGATGCTGCGTTAACGCGATATAACGAACGAATTTCATAAATTAAGTGCAAAGCACTTTATATAGGAGAACCCAGGTAAACTGTAAACTTTTGATAACAATTAGCTCACGATTACGCGCCGCGATTCTTTATCGTGAGTTGCGTAACCCATGAGAGATAGAGGGATAGATAGAGGGAGGGATAGATAGAGAGTTTCCGAACGCCGAAGAAAAATCTGACAGACGCGAAATAACGTTGCGAGCGCACTGACGTCTGCGTTACATCAACGATGTTGCATAATCGCTATTCATATCGGGCAATGAGGCTGCCGCTGCCGCACAGAGCCGCGCTCCTATGCTTACGACGGTGGATAGAAAATTAGTGATTTACGCGTCGTCCAACTTTGTTGCCGGGGACCTATTACCTTGTCATTAGGATTCTTCCCGTCTCCATGATTTCTAAGCTGTAGGGCATAGAGTGTACATTAGGGTGTAGGGAAGGGGGGAGGGGGATCGCCCACGGCACGATAGGATAGTTAGTACCTACCACTACTACCCTGGATTTGCATACGCTAACGAGATTCCTGCGGTTTTGCCGATGCTTTGCATGCTGGCCTCGCGCGATTTCGCTACGGCGCGACGCCGAGCTGCGCGCGCCGCGCTACGTCTATTTATTATGCGTCATAGATACGTCAGGGATGAAAGCCGGCCGAGGGAGCATCTCGGCGAATTTGCGAATTTACCGGGGCTCCTCCGGATGGAATTACGGGACGCGCGATATCTTGCGTTACAATTTTAATGTGATTCCCGTAGTACGGGGGATGCGATTCGTCGCGTCCGTCTACTCGCGTCGGGCTACCGGACGAGAGCGAGCACGCGTCGCGTGCGGCAACCCCGAAAGAATACTCGGTATTCATGCAAATTACGTTTTATCATGTCATCCCTCCCGGAATGCTCTTCGGCGTCCGATTTAACGGGCTTTAACGGGCCCGAAGCAAGGGCGATATCTCGTGTCGTGTTTTAGCGCAAAGTCTCGTATAAATAAGCAATCGTGATTGTTCCCGCGCGCGTGGCTCGCGCGCCGTAACTGCGCGCAGTTATTCCCCGGAATTTGAGGAAACAAGCGCGACGGAGGGCAGCGGCCAATTAATATTAGTTAGAGCGCCCGCGCGAAATAATATTAATCTTCATACGACTTAGCGCGTGCGCGCGCGACTCCGACAAAAATGTGTTTTTACCAGCTGTAAATTATTTGTCGGACGCGCGTTGCATTATAAGGACCCTCATCTCGGCCCCGACGCTGCCGGACGCAGATATCAATCAATTGACTGAATTTCGCGCGGTATTCGCGCGCGAATATATCGCCGATATTATATTATTCGCGATCGTTCACATCGGGACGATGCGAGCGCGTATTTTTTTCCCCTCCAGCTTCCACGTGTACACACATAGAGAGAGATAGACAGATAGATAGATAGAGAGAGAGAGAGAGAGAGAGAGAGAGAGAGAGGGATACATCCCGGTAAATAAATTTATACTTTTTACTTTCTTTCCCTCTCTCTCTTTCTCTCTCTTATTTTGATTCTCTGGGGTTTTTCACCCGGTTCTTATTCTGCGCGACGGGATTTTCGCTGCAATAACATACATCACGGACCTCGCGTGTCGCCGTTAAGCGCCGCAGTCTTAAACGTTAATTTACGGCGTTAAGAGACGCACGATGTAAGATTTCTTCCCGCTCGCTCGCTCGCTCACCGAGAGAACGCGGATCAGCGGAGACAGAATAATTAGTCGGCCTAATTGTTAATTTACTAATGGGACTTCGCGTAGTCTTTTAATTATACACGAGCGTGCTCGCGAGCCCGATGTTTACGCCGGCGAGTTTTCAACTTTTAACTATGGAGTTGATTCGCGCTAAATAAATCGCGCCACTTTTTACTACTCTCACTCGCGCTCTCTTTCCGATAGAAATTGTAATTAGGATAAGTAGAAGGAAAGAGAAGAGGATAGAGAGAGAGAGAGAGAGAGAGAGAAGGAGAGAGAGAGAGTAGAAAGAAGAACGGAATAGAGCGTTGCATCCAGCGAGTTATACGTTTCTCGTCGATCGACGTCGCCGCGAGGAAGACCAATGAAATATTGTCGTTATCGTAAATATTCATCAATATCGATGTCAATAACGCCGGCGGCGATAAAGGGATTCTTCCCGCGGATGAATACCGAAACTTTCGGCGAGGCTGGCGTTATCTTCGGACGGATATATATCCGCGCGCGCGTTACGAAGTTTATGAATTTATCACCCGCGCGGGCTCGTTAGTGTTGAAGCGCGCGGCTTCATTTCCGACGAATATTTTACATATTCCCCCCTCCCCCCCACCTACCCCCAGGGTTGCGACGATTTTTATAATTTACCACGTTCCGCCGCCTCTGTAAAATCAATCGCTTAGCGATATTGTTTTTTCATCGGCATTACTTTTAAATAGTTTCGCGGTTCAAAAACAGTGTTTGTTGTAATCGAGATTTGCGAGCGCGCGTGTGTGCCTGCGAGGACCGTTTTTATTGATTTTTTTTATTCATTAAGACCACTTTCAAAACTAACTTCACGGGTCGGCGAGATACTGCCGACGCTTGACATAGTTTTTCCATCCGGAAATTATTTTCGAACGTTTTTTTTCCCCCTCTCGCGAATCGTCGTCGCGTATCGTCGGGTCGCGAAACTTAAATTCCCGCGGTTCACGACGGACAATCGATTCGGACGTGCCGAAAGGGGGTCGGTGAAAAAGCGCGGAAATAGACAACACGGCCACGCCTGTGGAGTGCGTATAGAGACGCGGGTAGGTGGGGGAGGTGATGAGTGCGCGGGGGCATTCGGAAACTTCGGGGGCTGCGTAATCTCCAGCGTAACGTCTGTTAACAGAGATCGCGCCGCAGCTGGTCTACAGGTTTATCGAACAGACAATGCAGCCCGGTCCATCGGTTTCTCTGAAATGCAGCGCCGCGGGTAATCCCACGCCGCAAATTTCCTGGCTGCTGGATGGATTTCCGCTGCCGCAAAACGACAGGCTGCTGATTGGCCAATACGTGACCGTTTACGGGGATGTAATATCGCACGTTAATATCACGACGGTGAAGCCCGAAGACGGCGGCGAGTACGAGTGCATCGCCGGCAGCCGCGCCGGCGAGGCCAGGCACTCGGCGAGGCTCAATATTTATGGTGAGTCAGCGCGAAGTCGAGTCAACATTGAGAGACATGTTACGTTCGAAATTAGAAAGACTGGATTGTTACTATCGGCGCTACTCGCGTCGTCGGTGAAAAAAAAGGCGAGAGAAAGAGAGAGAGAGAGATGGAAGAATTTCGTTCGATGTCGTTGAATGCTCGCGGAAATACTCGTGAAAATATCCATATCGGTTACATAAACGACAGTTTTTCATTTTTCGACGGCCGCCTAAAGCCGAGAAAATGACGCCGTATTTTTGCGCGAAATTTATAACACCGCGTGCCACTTCGCGCGCGGCTGCAGTGTAACGACCTCTGCTACTTTCTAATCTCAGGACTGCCATACGTCAGACCTATGTCGGCCGTTTCAGCGGTCGCCGGGAAACAACTATATATCAAGTGTCCTGTAGCCGGTTATCCCATCGAATCGATAGTGTGGGAGAAAGGTAAGCATCGTGCGTCATTTCTGTTAATCCTCCGTCCGAATAACGCGAGTTGGTCGCGAATGTTCGCGTATTCGACGTGCGTTCAACGTGCGCCTGTGTTTTCACTGCGGCCGGAAACGGGAGAGTGCATTAAAATTCCGCGTTGACCCCCCCTCCCCCGTCGCTTCTGTAGACACTAGAATATATAGACGGAGTATTAGCTCAGCGGGGGCGAGAGATTCAAAAGAGGCATACTTACATTTCGATTTTCCGTGATGCAGCTATTACGAGTTTGGAACTGATGGATCACGGAAATGGTCGAAGAGAACGTACGGTCTGTCTAATAAGAGCGTGACCGGGCAGAGTTCTGTTCGAAATCGTTTCTGAGTTGAAAGTCTTCGGTTCTACATTAAGTCTGTTTGGTTCTACATCAAATTCTCAAAGGTATTTAATCGTGTTTCCTTTGTTGTTACAAATGAGAAGTTACTTCCACGTCTTCCCCACTCAAAGACTTAATGCAGAATTTAAAATTTCTTTTCTTCCCTTTGTAGTATTAAAGAGGTATTATTAGTGCATGGAAAGTTATTTCTGTTTTCTCTACATGAAGACTTAATGTAGAACTAAGTAGACTTAATGTAGGTCCAAAATTTCGGCTCGGATTACATCGAAAACTTTCGTGCGAGCAGGTAGAAAAGCTCTTCCTACAATGCATTATACAGAGAGTCCCAGTCATTGTCTGATTTTTGCTAAAGAATGACGTATTTAATGACGAGCACCGGAGTGTAGAGTAGACCGAAGCCAATCGGATCAATATAAGCTTTGAGACAGTGTCGTTAGTTTTTTGTCTCAAATGACGTGCGGAGGAAGTGTACGAGGAAGTAACTGACACGATAAAACAGTTCGTTCGCGACAAAAAAACTAACGACAACTGTCTCAAAGCTTATATTGATCCCATTTTCTCCTGTGATCAAATTCGCCTACCCTGCGGAGAAGTTGAATGTCAAGAAGATGAAATTTGTCAGAGAACATTAATATTATTTACCGAAAAGGTTTCAAAGTAAAGGTCAGAGTTGGATTCATCGAGAGGATAACGATCAAAAATATTGGAGTCGTTTGCGTTCTCAATGGAAGGAAAAGGAATACAGTCGGAAGGAACACGAAATACAGATTTGGCTATTACAGTCATTAGACGTAAGCTTTATTGAAAATATTTAATAATGATTGATGAAGATAAAATTGTATGGAAAAAATGTACATGATGAAACGGATTCATTCGGATTCAGTATGGCGATCTTTGTCTCGAGAATATGCTGTAGAATATGCTGGAAAATATATCTGAAAGATGTCAGGCAATAAAATGATTGACAACGCACGGAAAAAACAAATTTGGCTGAAACAGCAAATTGTTTGTTAATACAGTGACAGCAAAAAAAAATTTTTTGAATAACGGAAAGATTTGTTTGGACAGCAGAAAGATTTGTTAAGAATATTAATTGTTATTTACTGGATATACAGATAGCAAAATAATTTGGTTACGCCAAATTTTATTGCTAAATAACTAAATTTTATTGCTGTTGCAACGACGTTTTGCTACAACAGCAAAATGATTTTTTCCATGTAACAAATCATTTTTCTGTTATTATATTAACAATTAATTTGCTGCTCCGGCAAAATTTGTTTTCTCTGTGCGGCGATGATTGGACGACTTATTAATAGCGTTATGATACATAGTACATAAGCAATTTTTTCAGTTTATTATAATAAATAGTTTAAAAGTTATATTGGTCACGCTCTTATTAGACGGACTGTATTCATGATTCTTGTTATTATTACGATTCTTACAGCCGGATGTAATGTAGAAGCTCATTGTTTTTCTCCTAAAAACAATTCACTAATCCAACAATAACAGTATATTGTAAGCCGAACATAGCCGAAACCGACCGAAGTGCGCGGGTGAATCGATAATTATCCGCATTTGTGTTATAAATTTGCGTAGATTGGTAGTACATTTTTCTATCGGGGAAACAAACAAACTTGTCGAATCAAGTGCATCGACAATCAAGAGGACCTTTTAGTGAAAAATAAAGGGCTTACGAATTTTCCACTGTTTAGATGATGAATTTTACAAATAGAAAAGGGCGGATAATCATCGATTTACTCTCGTATAAAGACTGTACCCCCGACTCTTCCCCGCCAATATTACATTCCTTTCGTCTAGAGTGGAATCTTATGCTTCGTCTGTGCATTCTTATATGTCTACGTGTCTAGCCCCGCGAAGAACGGGCTTCGCTCGTATTTATCGGTAATCCCTATTTGCATTCATAATATGACAATTATGCGGAGTGCAGGCGAAATTCGTCTTATCTGTTTATACTTGGGAATTAGCTCACGCTCGATCGAGGATTAATTCCCCGAGCAAAGCGCGAGATATTTACGTGCGCGCGCGTGCACTCTGCAAACCGAGAATACAGCTTGTTATTATTATCGAATACCTCGAACATTCCTTCGAAACGCGCGTGGAACGAGGCCCTTTGTTTATCTATAACAATGTTTACGTATGTTATCAGGGGATGTAAAACTGCCTACCGACATGCGGCAAAGAGTGGCCAATGGCACGCTGTTCATCGATACCGTGCAACGCAGTGCCGATCAGGGCACGTATACATGCACTGCCAGAAACAAACATAATTTTACGTCGCATCGCACGGTCGAAGTACGTGTTCTAGGTAAGTAAACATCCACGTTACACGGGGCCGCGAGCGCGCGCGCCCCGGTAATTTTCGTGAATATTAAGCGACGGAATTCGAAGTATTCGCGAAATTAGTCGGCGAAGTGAAGAGAGATTGCGCGCGAGATGAAGCGATCTCGCGTCTCCGACATCACGGAACAAGGAAAATATTCACAATGCGGGGGGAGGGAGGGAGAGGGGATATAACGTTTTGTGCGAAGAGTTGATTTTATTTTAGTGCGACACACTTTTACGAGGCTCACGTCGCACTGTGCAAATGTTTAATTGGCGTTTAACTTCGCACACCGACAAGTACATTGTGTTGAACGCACACGTACACACGCACACATATACATACATATATACATACATACGCGCACACAGTGGTGATACGTAAAGGGTACCGCTTATTTTCCCGCGGAAACACGCGTTTGCGTGAAAATCAAGTCAACTGCGGCGTGATTTCGACGTAATCCCTTCGGACGCGATTTTCGAGAGGAGGAGAAAAAGTTCCGATCGCGCGCTAAACCCTCCCCCGCGCGTCGAACGGCGCGATTGCTTTTCGCAATTTACTTTACGCGATATCGAAGCGCGATTATGGATATCACGGGTGTACGCTAATATGTATTCTCCCTTTGTCGAACGTATTAACTATCCATTTCCCGTTCCCCGCTCAACCGTATTAATCGAAGCCTGTTTATACGTAACGGTCTGATGCGCGTGTGACGCGCATGGCCGAATTTATCTTTACATAATGTTTCTATTGGGTTCATCAAGCAAATTCTCCCTCTATGGTCGCCGTTGTTTGACGTTGGGTAGGATTAATTAGTACGGAACAACACATCGGGCTTGAGTCTTCGGTTTATCGCATTGTTGACGTCGTCCCACGGAATATCGCGCTCTTCGCAGCGATATCGATTCATCGATCGCACGCTCTCGCGAAAATTAGAACGGGAAATTTTGCCCTCGCCGAACGCTACGGAGGTAAACGCGTTCCGGTGAAAGGGATGGTGGATAAAATTGACCGAAGTGGCAAAACGGTGTGTTTTTTTTATCATTTTTGAGTTGCTGAATCTGACCTTTACAAAATTTCAATTTGCGGGGAAAGTATTCCAATTAGCGTATCCCGTAGGAAAGTATCCCAAACGTTCTTAGGTATAACATAGATTCTGATCAGATTACCCAAATTTATCTCAAATAAACATAACATTGCGATATGAATTAAGAATTTTATTATTATCTCCATTATATAAGAACATTTTTGGAAAATGTTGAGCAGTATAAATGGAATCTATCTAGATTTCCCATTTAGAATGACAACTTTATTTAATTGATTAATCGGAATTCATTTCAATCTCTGACATTTGAAAACCTTATAATAAGAAATGAAACTATTTATATTTCCCTATCTACAAAATTAATTTTCTTATTTTCTCGTCTTTTCTTTCGTCTGGATTTTAGAATCTTACTTTTGAAACATTACACCTCTAATTCGAATCTTCATAGATTTCCCATTTAATCAGAATGCATTATTTTTTTTTGAAATCAGCATAAATTCCTATTAGATCTCAGAAGATTTTCTACGTGGGATGAAGCTATTAAATATATAAGAAGCTATTATGACAACGGTATGTTAATGTAAAACTGTAATAAAACACAATATACTAAGTGAAAATCGACATATGAACGATATAAATTAATAAATAAAGAAGACTTGATTCGGTTAAAGCAAATCTTGATGCTTAAAAATATTTATTGCGTAAATCTTACAATTACCAATAATAAAATTCTACAATAGTAAAAAAACTTTTAATAAACAGAAATCTGTATATTATATATAGAAGAATATGTACGTAAGAAAGAAAAAATCAAAACATTGGGAAAAAGGTAAATGAAACATAGTCACATTCCGGTCCCGAGAGTGTAATTATAAAGAGATTCCGCTGTATAGAGTGCACGGACGCGGGCTGATCAGAACATAAACTATTAGAGATGAAAGCATTGCCATGTTTTATTAGCAGGAAAACACGAATGAATACGTTCGTAAAGTTCAACAATAATATTTTACTGTGGTACCAGATATTTTAATAGCTTCATATGCTGATTTTAATGCTTTTCCGACAAATTACAATTTTTATAAGTCGGAATCAGATTCAGCAGTTCAAAAACTACGGGAAAACATACCGTTTTTACTCGCCACTCGGAAGACCAAAACTGGCCCATTTTACCTATCCTCTCCATTTTGCGAGATTCGCGATTGTGAATTGTAACGGTTCGGTTTTCTCGTCATTCGCCGATCATTTGTTTCCCCCTCGCTCGACGACGTAGAAATTGCGTGACGCTGAAAGAAAAAAAAAGGGAAAGAAAAGGGGAAGAAGAAAGGAAAGGAGAGGATATGTTGTTTAGGTTTTCGCAGAAACACACGAGCCACCGCTGCGTTTTCAGCTCCGCCTCGACCTGGATTCTAACGAAAAGCTCCTCCGAAATCGAGTGGAACTTTTCTCGAGACGGACTGTTCTATGTTTCACACTGTGATGTAACATGTGCGCATATACGTATATAATATACACTGTGCTCCAGAAGTCGCGTTCCAGGCCCTCGAGCAAAGAATTGAGCCGAATTGCTTCACGGCCGCGTGCTCTCGAGATCCGCCGTTTCCTTTCGAACTTCTTTTAATTTTCAACGTTAAATATTGAAGGAGAAGTATAAACTCGTGGCGCAAGCGCGTCGTCGGTCACGTGACAAGTTAAAAAAAGAACACATGTCAGCGAGTTTACATAAGGGGCGAAGTTTTATAAAATGATCGCCGTCGCAGAAAAGTTGAAGATTGTACATACGTGGCAAATGTCCCATTTTCTCTCTCTCTCTTTCTCTCTTTTTCCCGAACCCGTTCGATCCTCAGCTGCGCCTTGGGCGCCTGCCGAAGAAGTACGCGATTTCTGGGACATTCTGTATAATATGCGTGTGCGAGCGTATTGACGCGCGCGCGCGTGCTGAAGACGTCCGGAAATGACCCATGCACAGAGAGCACAGCACCTCACTGCATCGCTCAAGCATTTCTCCCTGCACGCGCTCGCCTAACTGCTCTGTTCTATTTCCATGTATTTTTATGTACTCGCGTACTCATGTACATAAAAATCCAGCCGCCACGTACGTAAAACCTATGTACATAAGAACGACGCACGCGACGTGCGTACAGATGTTGCACGGGGTATTACCGCAAAACTACCCTTCGATCCCGATGTCTCTCTCTTCCCCCGTCCTCCACTCCCCCCTCCGTTTCCCCGAATCTACGTACGTACCTTGACGATTACGTAATTTCTTCCGCTTAACGGGACGTGACGTAATGAGTGCGCATTGAATACGTAATACCCCGTATATATATATATATATACGCGTGAAATCGTGTGCAGAGATTTAAATTACGAGTATCTCCCGAGATAGGATCTCAGAAAGAGAGAGAGAGAGAGAGAGTCTCGCGCCCCTCGCTCTCTTTCTCTCTCTCTCTCTCTCTTTCTCTCTCTTCGAAATCGCAAAGTGATTCCGCGACGGCGGGATTTGTCGGATTTATCGGCGATCCGAACGATGAAAAAGCGCGGCAAACATTAATAACGCGCGCGCGCGCGCATGTAAACAAGGATATCGAATATTTTCTTTGTGCGGGCCCCTCCCCTTCCCCCGGTCGATCTCGAAAATTTCCAATTAAATGCGTTTGTTTAACGTGTGTACTCGCAATTTCATTCTAAATAGCGGAGCTTGTTACACGGATTGTCGGTAAGCCGAATATCCCGTCTCGCGTGTTCCCCACTCGCGACGCGCCCTTTCGCGTTTAAAGTTGCACACGTTACTTTCCCCTTAACCCGCGCAGTCGATCTATAGGCACGGCTAAGCGATCTCTCTCCCGGGAGCGTCTTACGCCGCGGTACCGCATACGACAACTCCGAGTTTACCTTTTTCGATTACGAAAATGGACGATGCTCACTCGCTCAGCCGCTCCCTTCCGCGGGAGCGAAGGATTTTTTTCATTAAGAAGAAGAACATATACTTATTTTCCCCCGATTTACGCGAACACGCGCGCAGACGAACGAGGCGATATTACGGTGGCGGGCGGAATTTTACGTTATTCCCAGACCGACCGACGGTATTTTCTCGATCAGAACCGCACGTTCTCCTGCCAACTGATGCGCGAGGTCTTGACTCCGCACGTCAGGGCCGCAGACGCGAAGGAGAGCGGATCGATTAATCTCGCCCGCTATCGTCGAATCACGCTTGATTTCTGACGTATGCCGTATCGGACGGAGTTGCTTTCCCCTTATCCGCCGGCGCTGCCGGATCGCTGAAAAATTGCTTCTCACTCGAGGCGCATCCGGCAGCGACGATCACGACCGTTCGTTCGTTCCACCGTTTCCACCGATCTTCCTCCGCCCCCCTTGCCCCCTTTTTATCTTTCTCTATCTTTCTGCACATCCACACTTACACACACACACACACACATGCGTACACACATACACACACGATCCCGACGAACGTCGCGATTCTCTAGTGATCTCTGAACTGCTTTGATGGAATGCCACCTTGTCTGTATTGTTCTTTCAGTGCCACCTAAAATCACGCCTTTCAGTTTTGCTCGCGATTTAAACGTAGGGGACCGTACTAGCGTACAGTGCGTAGTCGTGACCGGCGACCTACCACTGACGTTCACGTGGCTCAAAGATAACGTCCCGATAGAGACGGTCAGGACGACGCAGGATGCGCCGTCGAGCAGCCGCGGTCGGTCGCCGGCCAGTCCTGGGGACGCGATCAAGGGGCCCCCCAAGCGGGGCCCCGCCATGACCGCCGCCGGCGCCGGGCATGACGAAGCGTCCCAGAGAAAGAGCATTACCATCCGGCAATATGACGCTTTTACCAGCGCCCTGAGCATTAGCACGATCGCACCCGCGCACAATGGCACGTACACCTGTCGCGTGACCAATGGCGCTGCAACCGTCGCTCATTCTGCACTCCTTCACGTCAACGGTAAACGCACACCGTTGGTGTAATTATACGCCCCGTGTTCCGGAATCTCGGTGCCCCCCCCCCCGTCATCGTTTCTTCCGTTCCCCTCTCCTTTACTCCTCCCCCTCTCTCTCTCTCTCTCTCTAGTTTTGTTTCTTTTTATTATCCTCTCACGTATCGAGAGAGAGAAGCGCGTCACGACGTCCCAGCTGTCGAGCTTACTGCGGCATCGCGTTTCGGAACACGGTAGTGGTCGGTGCTCATCGGGATGCCAACGACGACGACGACGACGGCGACGGGAAGCGAGGAAGGGCCGAGGGGACGCGTCGACGACGGGTGTGGATTCGCGCCACGTCTCGCGGAATAAGATCGCGACGGCGGAGTGAGGATTGTCATTGAGATTCGCGCGAGAGCCGAGGCGTGGGTAGTAATAGGGCCGGACTGGCAATTTTCCAGTTCGTTGGCTGGCACGGGACGGAAAGTAACTGATTGATCGGCACGTAGGGATACACCGGTGGCCACGTTTGCTCCGGCGCGTCGCGCCGCGACGCCTCGCACGATCGATCAATCAGCAGCGCCGACTTCGCGATGCGTACCGTAATCAATTTTATTTCACCCCGGCCGAAGGGAAAAAAGGCCGCCGATAACGCCGTGGGATCGCGCGCGCGTTCTCAGAGTCGCGTCCGCGACCAGAAAGCGGACTCTCTGCTCGTGGAAAATCGTCGGGATTTCGATTTTCGTGCGTGAGAAAGAGAGGGGAGAGGGAGAAAGCGCGCGCGCGTCGTTCATACGTCGTCGTTCGCGTGTCGCTCGAGCGTCGGCTGTGTTTCGGCCCGTAGCCGTGATGATCCCGGATGGGTCGCGACGATCCAGGATCATCCGGAATGCGGCCGTTTCTGCTCTACACGCCCTAGTCCAAGGTGCACGCATGCCAACACGTCGCGTCGGTGCTCGCGCTTCGGTTCTCCGGAAGCGAGGCCGGAAGGAGAATCGGAAAGTCCGCGATACGGGACCGATTCCGCGTGTTGCCAGCTTCCTTTCGAATTTCTTTCGACTTCTGTATCGTTCTCTCTCTCTCTCTCTCTCTCTTTTACCTTCACTCTTTCTCGTCCTGCACGCCGTTCTCTTTGCACGCCATTTGCACGCTTTGATCGAGATTCTCCTGCAACCACTGTCGGTACCTGTGTGTATTATTACTATACACTCTTGGCAATGTCTTTGACTCTCGTATTAGCATAACGCGAGCGGATCAGAGCTGTACCTGTCCAACTCACATCTTCTTTACTCCCGGATATGTGTGAATAAGCATCTCTACGAGAGATTCTAGCGCGGAAGCGTAAATACAGAGAGATATCGGTGAAAATACTCGAATTCACACAATATACTTCGTGAAGAAGTGTGCAAAGGGGTAGAAGAGATTGCGGGTTGGTCATTTACAGCGCTTAGCCGTTCATAAAGTACATACGTGTTACGGTATGTACTACTTAGGCACGACGTAATTATCTGTGACATCGAGATGCGAGGATGCGAGGGGCATCTCGGAGGGATCTCGCGCGAGAAAGATTCTCGTTCGACAAGACTCTCGAATCTCGGTGTCGCAGATCGAGATCGTAAAGCTATCGTAAAGTTCGTACTGGTTTTTCTATTCGCACAGGTGTATGCATCGTTCAGCATTGATATCCAAGAGACACGTAATGTTTTTGACTGAGTATTACATTTCACTATTTACTCCCAATACTCTTCACACACACACACACACACATACATGCGCATACATACATACATGCATACATGCATACATGCACGGAGAAAAAAGTATTTAAAAATTTATTTGTGCGATATAAAGTTTATTTCACAGTAGTAAGGTTTATTTCTGTAAAATAAAGTTTACTTCTACAAGACAAACCTTGCATCCCGCAAATAAATTTTCAAATACTTTTTTCTCAGTGTACGTACACACACGGAAAAAAGGATTAGTTTCGGTAGCTAAATTAGTTGTAATATATGGACACCTGGAATTTTAACAGTGCAGGCAATTTTAATTGCTGCAGCAAACGTATTATCGTAAATGATACATTGAGAAGAAAAATCGAAAAATTTACTTGTGAAACGTAAAATTTATTTTAAACAATTTGTTTAAATACAGCGGAATAAAATTTCGTCCCTGGCTAATTAATAAGAAAACTTCGGTATATTTCATAAAAATATATATTCTGTCATCAGTCAATTTTTTTTCTAACAAATAAATATCGAAAAAAATGTCACGAGAAACGTTTACTTCGCAAATTTTCAATTTCTTCTTCTTGGTGAGTCTATGCCGCACTGAAAAACCCATTTAGTTTAGTCAAATTTCTTGTTGGATATGGGCGAACAGATGTTTTAGTTATAAGAACCAAGGTTGGCCATCTGAAACGCAAATGAAAAAGATTTGGCTCAGAGAATCAAAGCTTAGCTCTTATAACCAAAACATTTGTTTGCCCATATTTAAGCAGGCATTTCATACGATTCGACTAAATGAGCTTCTCAGTGCGCGGCAATTAAAATTGCTTACGCTGCTAACATTTTTTGGTATCCATACATCACAATTAATTCAGCTGCTGCAACTTTTTCCCCCGCACGGACACACATACACGGAAATCGCTGTTAACGACATTTCTACGATCCCGTAGGAGACTCGTATATACGTTTTGTATTTTACGAATGACTCATTTACTTTGTTACTCAATATTGTGTTGTATGGTATCACGTTTTTTGAGCGGTAATGACGAAGTCATCATTTTATTAATGTAGCAAAGGTTTTTTATGATGATGTGTTTGAGCTCGAGGTATATCATATATGATTTGTGTAAGGTCGTTTTCATCATCACTATATTGTTACGATTATTATGGAGATTGTAGTGATATTTGTACACGACGGGCATTCGACGCGAGAGATCTCCGCCAGTCCCGGGTCGTTTGGTCTTTACACGTTGCATGTGCAAGCTCTTGTAATACATCAGAAGCAAAGTTACGTACGGTAATCGGTAGGATTGCAGGAAACTCCGAAGGAAACGTAAGAATAAAGAGATTAAGAGAGAGGAGTGCCAACGCATGAAATCTAAAAAAAATCATACCGCTCGCTCGACGCGGAGCGGAGATCTCTCGCGGCGCTTAGTTTCCGTTCGACACTTGTGAAATTTCGCCTGTCGGTAGGGCTCGGTAAGTAAGTCTGCGATACGCGAGTGGAAAAAGGCAAAGCGAAACGAACGGAAAGAAAAGCTAAGGGACACGTATCTCGGTAGGAGAGAAAACCAAAAATATAGGTGTCTCACGGTTGAGCGGCCGTTATGGCGCATCTCGGCCAGGTTCAAATGACTCCGTCGCCGATGTACGCGTGTCGCTCTCCTATGGGGATCCATCCCCGTAGGAGAGACGGAGGACGCACAGGTGGAGAGGCCGCGCTCGTGTTGCCCCCGCGGTCATGCGGAAGTTTCGTGCGCACCCGCGACATTCGCCGGGAACACGGTTTATATTAACCGTACCGCCTTCTCCTCCGGGCGAGCCGCGGGGAAGACGCGGGGCGGAGGGACGAGCTTATTTCTAACTTCTCACCGGCTAGTCTCCTCATAAAGACACATTGGCCGACATTAACAGTTATGCTCGCTCGTAAATGTTCATTTCCGCCGAGCGTACAGCGTACGCGCGCGTTATACATAGGGGAGGGGGGGGGGGGGAAAGAGGCGCGCGTATACATACCACCGCCCGATATTTATGGCCGAGTTGCAATTTTCCGCGCGCGGACCTCGGCGCGCGCGCGGCGTCGCACCTGTCCTTCCCGGTCGCTTCCACGCGCTTGTGGCGCGAGCGCACGCAGCCGGCTGCGGGGGGAAATCACGCGGCGGAATGGATCGAAACAAATGGAGGGCGATTATCGGGTTTCCGCGATTCCGTCGCAGATTCCTCCTGCGCGTGCCGCCGCGCTGTGTTGTTGCTGTCAAACAAGCGGAAAAATAGACCGCGACGACCGGCGAGAACCGACGCGCACCGCCGCCGTCTATATGTGACTCTCGCCGGCGGAAACGAGATCTAACGTTCTAATCGAAGCGGGTCGCACAGGTGAAGAACCGTCGCGTGATAACGACGGGGGAAAGAGGGAGACACGAAAGCAGGTGTCTGGGGTGTCTCTCACTCGGCTGCGTGTGTGTGTGTGTGTGTGTGTGTGTGAAAGAGAGACATACAATATACAGCGTGCATCTCGTTATACCGGGGGTCCTCTCGCGAATCGCGCGTGCACGAGAGCGCGTCCCCCCGGTCCGAAAGCACGCAAACTCGATCGATACTAGCGAGCTACTGCTATCTACTACTAGGGTGCTTAGGTGCGGTAATGCCGGCGCACTTTTCGAGACGAGGTATAACATACACTATTATCATCACACGTAACGTTTATAGTTCCGCCGCTGATCACGCCGTTTTATTTCGGACATGGTGTGACGGAGGGGATGCGGACACAGCTTATGTGTACGGCGAGCCGGGGCGACCAGCCGTTCAACATCACGTGGTTGATGGACGAGAAACCGATTCAGGTCAGACCGAGTGACGGTACATCGGTGTCGTCGGTCCAGACCGGTGCCGGGTTCACCGCCGCCGCCGTCGAGGCCAGCAACGGCATACAGATAAGCGACTATCCGCCGTTTTCCAGCATCCTGACGATAAATAGCGTCAGCGCTAGCCACAGCGGCAACTACACGTGCCAGATCAGCAACGTCGCTGGCCTGGCCGAGCACTCGACCAGCCTCTCAGTCGCTGGTTGGTGTCCTGAGAAAATTGACATGGTAGTCGTAAGAACTGTGTACATAATGCGTCCGCAATAATCACACCTTCCTTCTCTCTCTCTCTCTCTCTTTCTCTTTATCCTCTCCCCTCTCTTTTTTTCTTTATCTTCATCTCTCTATCCCTTTATGCCCCCCCCCCCTTCTTTCTTTCTCTCTAGCCAATTCTGCCCCACTTTTCTCGCGTGGGTGTGCACGTGTATACGTATACAC